TTTCCTTTTCCCTTTACAGAGTGACCACAGAAACATGGTTTGTGCTCAGTTCTGTTCTTTGGCTTTCATAGAAAAATTTCCGTGACGAGATGATGGAAGAGACAGTTGCCTCAACCAGTTTTAAAACACTCCCTGTTCTTTTCGCCGTCTTTTTCTCCTCTCGACGTTTTCGTTATCATTATCATTATTATTATCATTAGTTTATTCTTTTAATTTATTATTATCATTATTTGTTTACTTTTGGGCTTTACAAGACATTTATCGCTAAAACGCGGTGGAATGTGAAAACTATTAAAGTTATTATTCAGAACCAGTGGGTGATGAGTCAAGATTTCCGAGTGTATCTCTCGATTCTCTTTTGACAGAGTAAGTCACATTTGCTTATGCTTGGGAAGATGTCTCTGTCCCGCACAACTGAGTCGTGCATTAAAGTCAGAAAGAGCATTACAACTGATTACGTCACAGGTGCTACAAGGTTTATAGGTTCACACGGGCGGTTCCGGTTCAGGCAAGAATGAACCAAGAAACAGTCCTTTAAGCCCCGTGCAAACGGAAGCAACAGTATTGGCCAACAACTTACAACATTGTTGGATGTTACATGTTGCGTCCGTTTGCACACCCTGTTGCATGTTGTTGCGTGTTGTTGGAAGTTGTTGCCCAAAGTTTGAAACCGGTCAAACTTTTAGCAACCAACAATGTTGGGAGTCGTTGCGTCCGTTTGCACGCAGCTTTACAAGGTCACTTACCTCGCCAAAAGGAGTGTAAAATTGGACCACATTGATATCCTTCTCCTGCAAAAACGAGAGTGGATAGAGTTATGTAGATTATAATTATTATATGAATTAAGGTGATGTTACATGAGACGATGCGCAACGACGATTTTTAGCGTAACACAGCTTTGCAATAATGGAACAATGTTGTATCCATTCCAAACAATGTCGCAACAATGTTGCAACGCTGTGTTGCGGTAAAAATCGTCGTTGCGAATCGTACCGTTTACTGTAACATCACCTTAAGAACTTGAGGACACGTTGGATAAATAATACCTTCTTACAAAACTGTTTGTTGACAAGAGGTCATTGTCACTGGTTCGGCGAGGGTTTAGACAGGGGATTTTAAATTTGTACTTTTTCGTGGTCTATATAATTTTCACTTTTGACTGACCGGTCACTTAGGAAACTACTAAATTTCGTACCCTGAAGCAGCTTCCCTCAGGACAAGAACGGATAATGTTTTTTCCGAGTCATGGCTACAAAAAGGGGCTCTATAAAGCAAAATAAGTGGACAGTGAGTCAAGAACATCTAGAAAACTTTACTGTCTCCCGTCAGGGAACAAAAAACAGCACCTCACTGCTTACTGGCCTGAGAGAACAGACGACATTTCGAGACGCCATCGCTGGTCTCCCCGCGAAATGACGTCTGAGAAATGAGCGCACAAATTCCATACTGATGACGCGTCACTACCCAGATCTAGGTAGTACTTCTGATTGGTTGATGCAGATTTCCCACGCGGCACGACCAATCAGAAGCACTACCCAGATATGGATAGTGACGCGTCATCAGTATAGAATTTCTGCGCTCATTTCTCAGACGTTATTTCGCGGGAAAACCACCGGTGGAGTCGCGAAATTTCGTCTGTTCTCCCCCTAACTGCTTACCGATTTCAATGTACTTGGAGTCTAATGGAGTACCGATGGCATTGCAAAGCACAAGAACATGCTAAAAAACAAGATTAACATGTTAACTACAGTGTATACATTTTCACATACAGTTAAAATCTCCTGTGAGCGACCACCCAAAATGCAGTCACTTACGGGAGGAAGTCGCTTACGAGATTCGAACTACAGAAGTTCGTTTACGAGGAGAAGTCAGCCGAACACATATATTTTTCAGAGAGAATGTATTTCCGGATAAAAGTTCTTCTCATCCTCTAAGCAGCGTATAACATACTGTGAACACATAAATCAGGCCATTTTCTCAGGTGGTCGCCTAAAAGAGGATGAATACAATTGTTGCGGTCGCTTACGAGAGGTGTTCCTAAACGAGAGGTTCCTACCATAAGGTTTAGACTGGGAAAATTTTAGTATTTTGGACTTAAGTGGTCGCTTATGGGAGGTGGTCGCTCATAGAGGTTCGACTGTATACAGATATGAGAGGTACATTGAGTATCTTAATTATAATCTTTAAAGTTTTTTAGATTATACTTGGGGAATTGGTTAGTCCGTTATCCACAGGATTTTTACCGGAGAGCGCTAAAGGATTCATTCACAACACTGACTAAGAAAAACAAGTTATATCTGCGTTCAATAAAAATATGTTTAAAAAAATTATGAATATATGAAAATCATATATGTGAACTGCGGAGTGAAGAATCATTTGACGGAAGATCATCGCAGTTATATAGGCAACTTATGCAGTTGCGAAAAGAAAGCCTGAAAAAATAATCAGGTTTGTACGGGATTCGAACCCTTGACCTCTGCGATACCGGAGCGCTGCAACGGTATCGCAAGCATTTAATTTACCAACGATAAATTATCAGCTACCGAGAATTTCACTGGCACTACCTGTCCACTGCTATCATCTGCCCTGGTTGCCAAGACGCAGTGATCTCCTGAAGCTGTGATTGACAGCAAGTTTCGAACATACTTCACATATTTCTGACGGCAAAAAGAAAAAAAAAAGGAAAATTCAATTAATTATTTACGAAATCAAAACTGGATTATACAATAGATACATCACGGTAATATTATCAAGGGGTTAATGGTATTATTGCACTAACAAAATTCCATATTGAACTAATTTGAAAAACAAATTACGTTTGACAAAACTCGTTATACATTTAACAGCCCTGAAAGTAATACACAGCAACATTTTGGCTGAAATATGATGGTGAAGTTTTAGCTTGTTGAATGCATGTATGGGAATGACTTTTCTTCAATCAGTCACACAGGCAACTCGCCCCTACATTATCTTGTACCACTTTGCATATGCCACAGTGGACTTCGCTTAAAATTTGTTTTGTTTTTCCGGGTCGGCTGTGTCTCTGACTGAATAAGCAATCTCATTTTGGCGCAGTTATTTTGCATAGTGAGGGAAGTTCTAGGCTCCATTTCCCCCGCTGCGTGACCAGCCATCTTTTCGGATGAGAAGCGCGAGCTCATTTCTCCAACATCGGCTGATACAAATGTAATCTATACAGCCTAATAAAAGACGACATTTCAGCATTCAAGCATGTTTTGTATTAATTTTATGCAGGCATAATTCTTATAACTGCTCTGAAAATAAAAGAAGAGTCGATTCGTTCTCGACACCAGGTCGTCTCCGACTCGATAGAGAGAAACCTGGAAACGAGGTTTAATTCCATTATGACTTACCTCTCCGTTTTTGGTATCCCAGAACACTACGCAATGTTCTTGACGATCAGGCTTGTTAAATGCATACACTACTGTATTTGAAAAATAGCCCCACTAAAACAAAGAAACAAACAAAGAAAAATACTCTGTTATTAGTTTTATAACCAGAAACATACACATGCTTCTGTTTTAACTTAAATTTTAGGCAAAAAGAGATGGCATGCAACTTCTCTTTTTTTGTGTACATATAATGAACAGTGAACGACAAGTTAACAAAAATTCGGTCACATGGTAGAACTGACGTTTGAGTTTACCGTAAACATGATTCTAAAGGTGATGTTACACGGGAGACTATTCGCAACAACGATTTTTAGCGCATTACAGCATTACAGCATTGTTGGGACATCGTTTCGAATGGTTGCAACATTGCTCCAACATTGCAACGCTGTATTTCGCTGAGAATCGTCCTTGCCGACCGTTTCGTGTAACATCACCATAAGGTGATGTTACAAGGGACAATTCGCAGCGACGATTTGTAGTGGAACAAAGCGTTGCAATGTCTCGTGTAACATCACCTTTAAACCTCTCATTTTCACGCCGTAATCGTGCAACGACGGCAAAGAAATGTACAAAAAAAGCGTGATACACGTGCAAAGTTGTTGTTCTGTTGACTAAACGGAACCCGACGCATTTTTGGCGTTCTCGTTGCTGTCGTCGTCGTTACTTAAGCTCCTTATTTACAAACATGAGCATGGAGTTATACTCCAACCATCAAGAAACAAATCCAGCTGGTGGTCAGAGCGACCGGGATTCGAACCCAAGTCCACCGGATTACGTGTTACATAAGCTTAAATCGTGGCCAGAGAGTATTCTTGTAAACGGAGGACCTTATTCTTTTATGTTTTCTTTTATATATGACGGCACAACTTTGGGGAAGTCAACTTCATAAAGTGCACTCAAAATCGTTGTTTCATACCCTGCAGGGTTGTCACTAAGATTTCAAGTTGCCAGGTAAATACAACAAGTAGGCGGGGAATCAAACCAGCTACGGGTTTCTTTTGGTTCTATTTTTCTTCTATTTTCCTATGAAAGTAGCCGGGAGCCAAGTTCGTAGTAGCCTGGGAAAATCCCCGGCCCACGCCTCTTAATGACAGCCCTGACCTTGGGCACTCGCTGATTCAAAACTTAAGTTTTTGTGGATCCTTTCGACGCAATGGCGAGGAATGCGTGCAAATGTTCATGGGCCATCATGTGTGGACAAATGTTTGCGTTTTCAACAACAAATTTACGACGTACTGTATGCGTGGAATCACCCTTACAGTTAGCTTAGAAACCAGAATTAATTGATGAAAACACAAACTATTCACTTACCTTATAGTTGGGTCTTATGTTGGCAAAGTAGATGAATGAATCTACAGCCAATGCAATGCGCAGCCCAGCGCCTTCCCAGCATGCCTCTGTAATCTGTTTTCCAGGCACTTTCAGCGTTCGCAAATGCTGCAAAGAAAATTACAGGTAAACGACACTAAGCCCTAGGCCAAAAGTCGAACTTTTCATGGGACGAACCAAACTTAGTGGGTTAAGTTCACGACAGTTTGACGTCTGACTCAGTTAAGTTTGTCTGAATGATTTTTGGATCGTCCAACATGTTCTATCCGTCTGCTTCAGACGGATAGCATCGTCTCCGGCGCGGGTCAAACGTCGATCTTCACATGCGACGAACTAAACTAATAAATTAAACATTTGTATGATAACGAATATTTGGCCTCGTTCGAGAGAAAATTTATCACTGCTTCGACGCGTCCTAAGTTCGATGTCTGACCCAACAGACGATCTTAACTTAATTTAGGCGATTGACCTGCACCGATCCAAACCTCTTATTTCATTGGTCCCTATAACCTGCACTACCTATTGTTTTTAGGGATAGGGGCATTGTTATATACAGGTCGGCCTAACCCAGGAAAAATTTGACGTTTGGCCTAGGCCTAAGAGCAAGAAACGGATCCAGAGAGTTCAATTGAAATCAGACAGAACCTGACCTAAGGTTCAGAAGGAAATATTAGCGCAGTTGGTTAGTGCGTGGCCTCCTGTGCGGGAGTTTCGGAGTTCGATTCCCAGGTGTGACCACAAATCCTTCTTTTAACTTCTTTCCTTTCCGTGTAGCTTTAAGTAGCTTTAAATACCCGTAAAACGGAGCACTAACGACGTAAAATAAGCACTCTTTACCTTTTTCCTTTTCCCTTTACAGAGTGACCACAGAAACATGGTTTGTGCTCAGTTCTGTTCTTTGGCTTTCATAGAAAAATTTCCGTGACGAGATGATGGAAGAGACAGTTGCCTCAACCAGTTTTAAAACACTCCCTGTTCTTTTCGCCGTCTTTTTCTCCTCTCGACGTTTTCGTTATCATTATCATTATTATTATCATTAGTTTATTCTTTTAATTTATTATTATCATTATTTGTTTACTTTTGGGCTTTACAAGACATTTATCGCTAAAACGCGGTGGAATGTGAAAACTATTAAAGTTATTATTCAGAACCAGTGGGTGATGAGTCAAGATTTCCGAGTGTATCTCTCGATTCTCTTTTGACAGAGTAAGTCACATTTGCTTATGCTTGGGAAGATGTCTCTGTCCCGCACAACTGAGTCGTGCATTAAAGTCAGAAAGAGCATTACAACTGATTACGTCACAGGTGCTACAAGGTTTATAGGTTCACACGGGCGGTTCCGGTTCAGGCAAGAATGAACCAAGAAACAGTCCTTTAAGCCCCGTGCAAACGGAAGCAACAGTATTGGCCAACAACTTACAACATTGTTGGATGTTACATGTTGCGTCCGTTTGCACACCCTGTTGCATGTTGTTGCGTGTTGTTGGAAGTTGTTGCCCAAAGTTTGAAACCGGTCAAACTTTTAGCAACCAACAATGTTGGGAGTCGTTGCGTCCGTTTGCACGCAGCTTTACAAGGTCACTTACCTCGCCAAAAGGAGTGTAAAATTGGACCACATTGATATCCTTCTCCTGCAAAAACGAGAGTGGATAGAGTTATGTAGATTATAATTATTATATGAATTAAGGTGATGTTACATGAGACGATGCGCAACGACGATTTTTAGCGTAACACAGCTTTGCAATAATGGAACAATGTTGTATCCATTCCAAACAATGTCGCAACAATGTTGCAACGCTGTGTTGCGGTAAAAATCGTCGTTGCGAATCGTACCGTTTACTGTAACATCACCTTAAGAACTTGAGGACACGTTGGATAAATAATACCTTCTTACAAAACTGTTTGTTGACAAGAGGTCATTGTCACTGGTTCGGCGAGGGTTTAGACAGGGGATTTTAAATTTGTACTTTTTCGTGGTCTATATAATTTTCACTTTTGACTGACCGGTCACTTGGGAAACTACTAAATTTCGTACCCTGAAGCAGCTTCCCTCAGGACAAGAACGGATAATGTTTTATAATTACAAATTTTCAGTTCTGTAGTAGTTGTTTGCAGCATTTTTCGCATACACTTTTATAGAGATTTAATTGGCAAATTTTCTAATATACATACTGATCCAATAAAAATTTAAAATAAAAACCAAAAAAGGTACAAATAAAAAATGTTGTCGCATAAAAACTTTCAAATGATCTGCTAACAAAGATAGCGCATCACCTGTCCAGTCGCTCTCTGCATGCCGGCAACAGCTAATACAGCACCACAGTTGTTCCACTGTATATTCACAACAGCCATTGATGTGTCAATCAATACAGGATCTATAACGTTTATAATGTACCCAGAAAACTCAAAAATGCTTCTGCTCAGTGACCTTACAAGTTTGTAATAATTAAATGATACATTACTGATAATCTGTTATGTATTGATATTCGATTTATAACGCAGGTGCCTAGAATAGACCAACAATTCATACAGTGGAAAATCGATATAACGAAGGGTCAAGGGACCGGTAAAATTTGTTCACTTTAATGAGCTTTCATTATATCAAGGTTCTTTTTCATATAAAATTATTTAAGTGTTACTGGGGTAATAACGAAAATCGTTCGTTATACCGAGGACTTCGTTATCTTAGTTATATACAGCATTGTTATCCTTGTTTTCTAAGGTTACGTCCTTTGGTATCTCTGTAATCTTAATTTCTATTTTTATATTTTTCTTCTATGAACCACACGACGAAAGGCATTAAAATTAACAGTGAAAAAAAAACTACATTGAATTTAATATTGTTATAATGTTTTTAATGACTCCACTTTGCTTTAAGAGGACTTTCTTACTTTCATCCAGTTCATGTCTCATAATCTGCATGCGTCCAACATCAAAGCACACCGCTAGACAAGGACAGTTTGGTTCAACATATCCTTCTCTTCCATCATACCTAAACCAGAAAAAGCATTTTATTTAAAAATTGTACACATGCCAGGGCTGAAATTGAAGTTTTGAAGCAGCCATAGCGAATGGATATTCCCCACTATTCCCACAAAATCTTTTTGCATCACCTTTTGCTTTCTACTTTGATCACCAAAATGATTATGTAAGCTCAGCCATTACAATTCTTATGGGTTTAATATTGGCCTTAATGACAGCTTTGTATGCACACTCTCAATACTTTTTGTTGTTTTGCCCAACAGAAATCCATGGAGATCTCTCTTTTCCAGCATGCCACTAGATACCTACATGTACACAAAAGCTCATAATATGAGATCTTGGTTCATTGTGGCCAGTTAATTCACAAACCCTGTTTATAACCAATATTATTGCACTTAAATACTTAGCAATCTTTCCACTTTTTCTTAGTTTATCCTCATAGGGAAATATAATTTATGCACTGTATGAACACTGCCATTTAATTGTTTTGTAGTTGTAAACTAGATCTATTTGCCAGATGGATAATTCATCCATCAATTCAGACTTATCTGTTCCTGGTTGAAATCCACTTGGCCGGATAATATAAATTTTTAAAATTAGATTGCAACCACTACATTGTAACATACTGACCACTCAATACCAGCTATCTTGACAGCTCCTGTGACATTAGCAAGGCAGAACAATGTCATCTTTGTCTGAAAACAAATAATACTTCATATAAATTAGAATAAACTATTGGGGATTTTGTACCACTCTTATTGAATGGAAATATCTGAAATAACTCATATTATTGTCAAAGTTTCCACTTTGTGTCATTTTCGGTTTGCTGGATGACTTTCCATAATATATTATTTTGCATGTACTCGATAACGTTAGTACCATTTTCTAATAACAAAAACAAACAACCAAAAATAAAACAGACCCGTACTCACACAAAAGTTTCCTGTGTTATCAAATATTTGCACTTCACCATTACTGATCCCAAAAATGATATTCTTCCCATCTGGTGACCATTCCACATTTGTAAGCTGCAGGTTTTTCAACTCTTTTCCCCAAATTCTGTTTCCATCAACTGAACCGACAATCACAGCACCTAAAGACAATGGAACAGAAATGAGGTATTTTTTCAGCATTACTGACCAAATACTTATAAGTTATAATCTTGATGCTCTACCCAGGGGCGGATCTAGGGGGAGGGTGCAGGGGGTGCGCACCCCTCCCTGAGATGACCTGCGGTTTTCTAATACAACTAGTATTCTGCAAAAAAAAACACACTATGTGGTTTATCGGTTTTGAAGTAGGGCAAGAGACGAGTGCACCCCCTCCTAAAAAAAATCCTGGATCCGCCCCTGCTACCAATTCCCTCAGTAATGGCTCGTGTTAGTAGAGCATCAGACTGTTGGGCAGGAAATCACAGGTGTCACCAAAGTGCTGTCCAAAAGCTTGGTGGCATAAGCCGTCGCAGGCTAGAATGTTTTAATTTTGAGTAGTCTGACAGGCAAGCAGCAATTAACAAGATAAAGTAAAATAATGTTGAAAGCAAAAATGGGGGTTGGTGGGTTTGGCTAGTAAACTTCTGAATCAGCTTTATCTCAACGTCTCTGAGGTAGTAAAAGGCAGACACAACGAATGTTGTGAATACATTGCATTGTAGCTAGGGTCTTTCTACATTGATTACTTGGAGAAAATATCCAGTAGTTATACTGAATGTTTGTAACGCACATGACACTGCTACCTGTAATAAACACCAAGCATACAAACCAATAATTTTGCAGGTTCTATCTCTAAAAAAAATACAGTGGATTACCATTAATTTTGCTGGTTTTAAATCCTGGCAACTACATATATTTACTAACAACTTTTATATTACCGTCTTCATAAACAATGCATATCCTTTGTCCATCTGCATTCCATTTCATGTCTCGAACTACACTTCGGTTTCTGTTGTTGATCATCTCTTCATACCAAGATCCTATTACACATAGGTTTAAAAAAATCACATTTAAAGAGCACCCTCTTCAATGCACATTGTTAATTAATAAGGAGAGCTAAAGAAACAACAACAAGAAAAGAGCTTTCCCAGAAAAGACGGTGGTATGGGATTACTTTGGTTAATAAACAGTTAGTGGAAAGGGTCACACTTTACAGTTATAAGAAGGATTTGAAAAGATAAACTTGTGACTCTCTATTAACTCAGAATTACTAAAAAAAAAGTTTAAATTAATTTCAGTTTATAGTGTTACCCCCCTAACAATCTGGCCAGCAAACTTTCCAAGATTCAAAATCTTGCCGGCGAAATGTTAAAAAACCGGGATGTTGCCAGCAACATTTGCAAAATTCAAGATCTTGCTGGCAAGATTTAGAAAATTCAATTTGCTGGCAAGATTTGGAAAATTCAAAATCTTGCTGGCAAGATTTGGAAAATTCCAGATCCTACCAGCAAGACTTGCAAGATTCAAAATCTTAACGGAAGATTTGGAAAACTCCAGATCTTGCAGGCAAGAGAAAATATAAGATCCTACCAGCAAAATTTGGAAAATTTCAAATTCTGACTGCAAGAATGGAAAATTCAAGACCATGATTGCTAGATGTGGAAAATTTCAAGATCCTTCCAGCAAATTACATTAACCTTAATCCCTGAATTGGATTTAGAATGTTGGTTCTTGCATTAATTTAATGAAACTGACTCACCTTTATAGAGAATCCATACAATAATAAGACCATACTGATCACTGGTAGTCAACTTTTGAAATTGTTCATTCCAGGTTACCACTTGAACAGCACCTAAGTGAAAAAAGAACTAAGTTATTAATATGCTGTGGTCAATTACCTTACAATGAAGTTACAAGCCTAAGTGCAAAATGTGCACCATCTATGTTATAAATATTTTTGTACAACTGCTGTAATGGTTTTGTATAGTGTGCTAGTTCTACTGCCAGTAGCAAAACATAGAGAGCAGACAGTGCAGCTTTAAATTGATCCGGATCATAGATAATGAAACAAGGAGGGTAGTGGCACCTCAATCTATTTCAACCTCAATTACGGGCAAACTCAACCCTTCCTGCCCAGCCCCCCCACCCCCCCACAAACCCTTTCCGACATGTATATGATCCTTACCCCAGGTGCCACTTCAGGATAAAATTGTGCAGATTGGCAGTTTACACTACTCAGTGCATCATTGCAATTCTTGTTCACGTAGTCATTGCGCCCCCTATTTTAACTCAAAAGCTGCATGTGTTAATTAACAAGCAGTGACTATTTTATTTTCTCTGCTACACAGCATTGGTCATTGCAAAAGTAATTGTACAGAACAATAATAACCTCATAAACCAGAGAACAATGTACTTTGCCAGGTGACATTATCACTTACCAGTGTGCCCGTCAAGGTTTTGATTCATTGAAAGATTACTAGGAGCTGCCAGACCTCTAACTTTTGCATCTTTACCTAAAAAAATCAAGATGTAAACAACAAACACATTGCATTATTTTTTGTTTGATGCAATGTTGACAGTTCTGACAAATATTCAATGTATTACGTACATGGTCGATGCAAAATTATGTCATTTATGTGCGACAGTACTTCATAGTTCTAAAGATTTGCCGTATTTGTTTACATTTGCATCATCTTGTCTACCTACAACCTGTACTACAAGAACAATTCAAGCCCCAAAAAAAGCTAATAAGCGTAAGTTTACCTTGCTGTATCTCTAGTTTGAGTACTTTAAGTAATCCATCCTCTCCACCACAGGCGATGTAACCTTGCTCCCGATTCCAAGCCAAGCATCTCAGCCTCACATTGTTTGGTATGGCGATCTAGAAATCGGTATCAGTGTTTCAAACAGATCGAGAAAGAAATGAAGATCAGTTCGCCAAAAGAAAAATATTCACCTTGACAACGTTAGCTGGAAGTAAACAAACTTCCACACCGAAATATTAGAAGGGAAACGAAATAACGACGCACCTTTTTGCTCAGATATATAAACATGACTTCTGCTTTACTCTAAAACCAGCTAAAATGATATATTTGTAGCTTAGGTTTTAGAACGCGGCACAACTGTCGAGCACTACAACTTGTCTTTAATATTTCTCCGCCATTTTCCTTCAAAGTGACATACCCATAAAACACTTCGAGCGTTTCGTCAAGACGATTCGGTTCGTGTTACATAACGCAATCTGTGTGCAAAATGGCGGCCAAGATGGCCCTGAGAGGAGTTTTGAGATGGGTATGTATGCTTAATTCCTGTTATTTATACTCAAAACAAAATGAATGTATACTCTTACTAGAAAGAAAAACCTCGTCTTCACTGATTATTATGCCTTTTTCAACTTACATGTTAAATAACTGCGTAATATTCGCAGTTTCGCTAAATTCAATTTGGAGATAATGTACCTGCATGTTCTTGGAAAGCCAATATTCTAATGATTTGACAGAAAGGTAAAAAAAAATTTGTATAAAAACAAACAAATAAACAAACCCCCTATAAACTTTAGAATACTCAGCTACTTATTAAGTTACATCTTTCAAAGTATTAACAAATTGCATAAATAGAGGTTAAAAAATATATAAGAAATAGTAATAATAACATATTCCTCCCATTCTCATTCCCAACAGAGGGGCCGTTTTCTAGTTGCTGTCTCAGTTCCCGTCCTTGGTGCACCGTTTTTGTCAACAGTAAAGGCTGGTTCCATTAAAGTCCATCCCAGGGAGGTAAAAATGAGAGATTAATTATATGTGAATAAAGTTATTTTGTTGTTAAGCTGTTGTTTGGGACATTCCATGTTTTATCCACAACCCCCTCTCCCTCCACCTTAGGATGGTGAAGTTTAGATGGGACAAGGAGGGTTGGATTTTTCTTTAAAGAAGCCAACAAAATTTTCAGACAAATTTTCCAATGGTGCCAGCAAAAAATGAACTCTTCTGATTTCTTTTTTTCAAAGGCTGCGGAAAGAAATTTGAGGGTTCAGATTCCAGTCATTTTTAGGGGGAGGGGATAAAAAATGGAATGCCATTTTCTTAAAGAAGTTACTGAAAACGAATAAAGCGTTCTCCTTGATACCAATTAAAACATACCTAAATCTTGAAATTTTATTTCAGTTGGAAATTTATGATCCTGTAGTTGATTCAACACAAAATACTGCAAAGCCAGCAGAGGAGCCAGTCACTGAGATGGAGCAGAAAGTCTCTGTGGCAAGAAAATTTGTTTGGGGATGGACATCCAAGGTGAAGGTAAGCAACGGGAGTGGTCAAGTCAGTGATGTGGGTTTTTCATGTGTAGAGAGTGGAGAGTTAGGTAAGATGCGGTGTGAGAAAAATTGGGACCACCTGGTCACTAATAAAGAGACTTGACAGTAACTTGAAGCTAGTTTCCTAACTATTTCTCCTGTCAAATGTCTTGTAAAGTGTTGTTTGAGCAATATGGCGAGAAAAGTAAGAAATTAATTGTCAAATCTAAGCTGCAATTGTCTAGCAGCTGACATAGGTTTTGTCATGAAATGCTTTCTGTCCAGAGAGACTTGTTTATAGAAAGAATCAGTAAGGCTAGGATCAGTCAAATGACCTTGGGTTATGGTTTGTGGTAACGTCACAAAACATGATGCGAAATGTCTATAGTGGGTCCTCACTTGGATCTTGCTGAGAGTTTGACAAAAACACATCAAGTCACCAAGGCTATTATAGCAAAAAGGTTGCAGTGGATTTAACATCAAACACATTTAAGCTTGGACCCATTTGCTTAAACTTGGTCTGGTTATCATGTTTATTTCACAACTGTTTAAACCTAAAAGTAGAATTCCTATCTATATAACACCTAACAAAGTGCCTGTAACTGAACATTTCTTTATATTCAACAGGATGGTATTTCACAAGTTAGGACTACATACTCATCTGTGGAAGAGAAATCATTTGGTGTGTAGACTTACTTTATGCAGACATAATGTTTTGTTGCCTACAGCACAAAGACATTAAATATTTAAAATTAGAATGCGCTGAAGACCAATTATTAATTATTAATTATTCTTCAATGAAATTTCTCTAATTCAAGCTTCATTTTATTGCCAGTCAAGTGCCTCGTAGTTTGATGTTGTTGTTATTTTAGTGTTAGTACAGTGATATTGCTAAAAATAGTTGTGGTGAGTCCAGGTCTCAGAGGTAACAAAATCACTGCTTAGTGTCATTGAGGTTAGGTATAGTTAAAGTTACACAATGCATTCCTGTTGGCAAGTTAGAATCATTCCACAATAACATTTGCTAGAAGCACATTCCAAAGACTAAATTTGTTGTTTAGACCAGATGCAAAGGAAAGAAAATCAGCTCGCAGCCAGTCATGGTCACTCCTTGGTAGAATTATTATCAGTGTTTTTAAATAAGTATTTCATTCAAGAGTAAAACATGGTAACTGTTCAGCATACAGAGAAATGGATAAGGTAATAAAGGTAAAACAACGGTAGAAGAGGAATTTAATGTATAAAGGTCATTCTCTTGCCGCAGTCAGTCACAAACTTACATCTAACTTATTTCCTTGTCAGTGTGATCGTGTATACAACCAAAAAGCTATTACAGGGAACTACTTTAATGATTGAGCATGGAGAAAGTTCTCTGTTGCATTTATTTATGTAATGAATAATCTTTCAATCATGTATTAGAGACTTTAATACAATGTATCATCATGAAAGATATTGTTCATCGTAGATAATTTATTTATTTTTTATCATTCTCCATGCAGAGTTTTGGGAACTAATTCAGACAGATACAACATTTCAAATGAAAGTTGGTGGAATAAGTGCAGCTGTTTTGGTTGGTGCAGTTTTGGCTGGAAGGGGGCGTAAGTAGAATATTTGTCTGTCTTATGAGCTTTTAAAAGTAGGGAGCAAGAGAGGCAGAGAGCTGAATCATACCATGTAAGGTAATCCAGATTCCAGAATGGGGGAAATCTTTGCTTGTGGAATCCAAAATCTGAGAAATCTTACTCGTGGAATCTGGAATCCTGGGCTTTGGATTCCGGAATCCCACTAACAATTGGAATCCAGTACTTGGAATCTGGAATACATGATATGGAATCCAGAATCAAAGACTGTCTTGGATTCCCTTGCATGGGGTGTGCTGAAAGCATTCAGTTTCCACCAATGTGACCAGGGTTAAAATCCCAGAGATGATACCATGTTTGGGTTGTGTTTATCGTCTTGTCCAAGTTGAATAAATGGTTACTGGAATTTTTCCAGCCATCATGTCTCCTTTTTTGGTGAATTAAAAATGAGAGTAGTTACTTATCATTATCATACAACTACTATCGCATTTCTGTTACAATTCTGTTGTAACAGTAATATTTCAAAAGTTGCACAAGAGGTACTATGATCACAGCACAACACCACCACAATGCCACTGGTAAAAAAGCGNATATTGTTCATCGTAGATAATTTATTTATTTTTTATCATTCTCCATGCAGAGTTTTGGGAACTAATTCAGACAGATACAACATTTCAAATGAAAGTTGGTGGAATAAGTGCAGCTGTTTTGGTTGGTGCAGTTTTGGCTGGAAGGGGGCGTAAGTAGAATATTTGTCTGTCTTATGAGCTTTTAAAAGTAGGGAGCAAGAGAGGCAGAGAGCTGAATCATACCATGTAAGGTAATCCAGATTCCAGAATGGGGGAAATCTTTGCTTGTGGAATCCAAAATCTGAGAAATCTTACTCGTGGAATCTGGAATCCTGGGCTTTGGATTCCGGAATCCCACTAACAATTGGAATCCAGTACTTGGAATCTGGAATACATGATATGGAATCCAGAATCAAAGACTGTCTTGGATTCCCTTGCATGGGGTGTGCTGAAAGCATTCAGTTTCCACCAATGTGACCAGGGTTAAAATCCCAGAGATGATACCATGTTTGGGTTGTGTTTATCGTCTTGTCCAAGTTGAATAAATGGTTACTGGAATTTTTCCAGCCATCATGTCTCCTTTTTTGGTGAATTAAAAATGAGAGTAGTTACTTATCATTATCATACAACTACTATCGCATTTCTGTTACAATTCTGTTGTAACAGTAATATTTCAAAAGTTGCACAAGAGGTACTATGATCACAGCACAACACCACCACAATGCCACTGGTAAAAAAGCGACTGAAACATTCAGTGATTTAATTCCTTTTTAGAGAAGATCAGAACTTAACTGTTTATCTTTCGTCTGCGGTATTTAACTTCTAGGTCGGCCAATCAGAAGGATATTTTATTCTGCTGTGCTGGGAACAACTGCTGCAGCTATCTGTTATCCAAATCAAGCGGTTGATGTAGCATTGGCTAATTACAATAGACTAAAGGTGTATACAAGAGAACAGTGGCACAAGTTCAACCAGACAAGAACAGAACAGGCCGCTTCCAAGAAGCTTGAGAGTCCCGTTAACGACACGGAAATTTCCAAAGATCAAGATAAACCCACCGAAAATGTGCCCGAGCAAGCTAATGTGGAGCCAAGAGAAGACAAAGTTGAAGTTAAAGAAGCGCCTGAAGAAGTTCCAGAAGAAAGGGTTGTGGCAGTTGCTGAGCAGAAGCCGAAGACATCATTCTGGAGCAATATCCCGTTTCTTGATAAGTTCATCGGCAGCCGGGAATCAGCAACAGGTGATGAGGTTAGTCCGCCAGTAGCCGTCGGTGAGGGAGAGGATGTGAAAGGGTCTGGAGGTATTAAAGACCAAGTTATGGTTCAACAAGAGTCTAGAAGTCAAGAAGTAAAGATCGAAGGAGACATTGGACAGTCCAACCCAGAAGACAAGGACATGTACTCAACACGATCATGAATTATCAAAATAATGCAACCTAGACAAATTTAACAGTTAACAATTTATTACCGTTCTGGAACTTTGAAAGGTCGCACATACGAAGAAACTAGTAATTGACTGGTTATTTAAACCAGAAGACGTTTTTTTTAGTCCGAAATTCTGAAAGGATCGTGCTAGTTACGCAGTTTATTGCAAATTCAAAAATACCAAAAATATATAAGAGACCTTTAGATTCGACTACGAGTACGAGATTTGATATGAAGCTTTTCCATACTCCGAGTACATCTTTCCTTTAAACTACGAGGCCTTGAAAACACAATTCCTGCTCAGGTGATTTAAAGTTTTTTCGCGTATTATCAAAAGATAGACACCCCGGAATTCTTCATTGTACTTTTTTTCACCCGAAAAGTTAGCACTGTTATCGTTACTGAAGGAGGTTGAGCCCTCCCCTGATTGCAAAATGCTAAAACTTCTAACATTTCATAACTTGTTTCCGCCACCACGACATTCTCGTTAAAACTCGTAGAAGAATGACGACGGCTACTACGTTTTCCCGCCAAAATGACGCTGGTTCACGCGCGAGCACTACTTACTATTGAGAAAATCTCGTACTCGTTGTCGTTCTTGTCTTAGAATCTAAAGCTCTCTATTGAAATAGGGTTAAGATTAAGATGGACAGCCCGTAGAGTCTGTGAGTTACTTGTTACTTACTAATTTTGTCTTATTCGCAACAAGTTTAAATCAGTCTTGTGGGGTGAAAATGGCTGAGAGACTGAACCTGTAAGGCATAATCCTTCTTTTATGCAAATTAATTTTGCTACTAAAAATATTAAATATTATAATAACTGCACAAAGAAATAAACGTCTCTTGTTGTGGAGATATCTCCTTCAACCCAATTTTTTTATGAAAAAAGTACTACGCAAGATGGTCAAGTTATGTTGCAGCAGGGTAAATATGTATTTCGCAGCGTTTGAGAATATGGTCGTTTGGTTCGTCAGGCAAACTCATATTCCAGGGTACAGCATTTTGGTTTCTAACTGCATTAGAAACAAGTCATGATTCAATTTAAGCTCTTTCAAGTTCTTTCAAAGAATAACGAAAGAATCAAAAGGCGTGTCTCTTTACTTAAACCTCACTGTGATTACCAAATTTAGATAAAAGGAATTGCAGAAAGCGAAGTTGACACTAGAAGATGCTGTCAAGTGATGTTAGCCGTAAATTAAAAATAGGGTACAAAAGCACGTGACGTCCATGTTGAATTCTTTAAAATTTCCAGCCTTGGTTTGATCTTGAAGTTCAATCTACATTTGCTTTCAAAACCATGGTCGTCCGTTTTTGCCACTTCAAGTCTCAATTCGGTCTCTACCTTCGTGTCACTGAAGACTTGGTGCACGGGGTACCCCTTAAGGACGTCGATCAATACAGTGAGTAAGAAATTTGATCCTACCAGTTACAAATACATAATAGCTTTGTTTGGAAAGTATCGTAATCGGAGAATTAACTAAACATAATTTGATCAAGGGCACTGTTTATATGAGATGAGCCGCACTGACTTGGCCTCCCACGCAGGCGTTTTTAGGGGAGCTCGTTTTTAAACGAGATCCCCTAAAATCGCCTGCGTGGGAGGCTACACTGACTCGGCTCGTACCTTATTTCCTCGTAAAATTTTCGTTGTGTTTCTATGAGAAAGCGGGCTTGCCGTGATCTCGATGCAAATACTCATGGAAGCAGGCTGCCTTGTCCATTGTTATAGGCCTCCTAAACAGAAATTCGATCTAATAGCTTATAACATGAATTCCATTCGCAAGCGTAAGCCACAGGGAGCAATTTAAATTGGTGAAATCGAAATTATTTGGATCAATCCTAAGTCAACATTAACACTTACTTCTCGCTAAGAGCAAAATGTTGGGTTAGGGGAGGGGTAGGTGGGCAGTTTTCCAGAAACCTAAATTGATCTAATTATTTACCGGCTGGTCCTTATTTTTTCGTGGTTTTGAACGGTGTTGCAATTAAATTGCATATCCGCCTATCTCAGAGGTCGTGAAGAATATAATAAAGGTGAAAGCCGTTTTTGGGAAGAAACCAACGCCCATGTATAGATGATGTCAACAACAACACTGAAGGTAGCTGATTTTAAGCTGAAAAAAGGTTAATTTGAAGTCTGTCAACTTCTTGATCATCTGTCCGATTTTACCTAAATTCTCCATCTTGAAAATTCAAATCTCATTTATTTTTGGGTACTTTTCCTTGACAAAACTACAGCATTCATGTGGGGCGCGGGAGTTCTAGTCCCTTAAATATTACATTGAAAGCCTTCAATGATCTAATCGACTGAAAAATTACTCCTTTAACGTCAATTTACGAACAGAAACACTTGAAAAAAATCTTGCCAAAAGATAGTCTTACGAGTGAAGCGAAGGGACACCTATTTAATTTTGTACACGGAACAAACTGAAATATATGTAGAATAGTGGCCTCTCGGCGTGATTTAACGCCACTACAAAATCGTCATTTTCATACCCAGTTTCAGTTTTTTTGAAAGTGAATTAAGTAATTAAATTTAATTTAACCCTCGGATGTACACGCAAATTCATACCACCACCGTGGTACAAGGGGGAGTTTTTTATATGTTGCAGTATTTTAAAACGATTTTACCTTCAGTGTTGAAAGCCTTTGATCTTCTTAACAAGATGAGGTATATTTTATGGGTGGTGGCGCTGCTAGAGGGCTGTCACCAACAATGGTGTACGCCCCTTGTACGTCCGCGGCTTAAGTGATCAATGTTGCATGAAGCAAAAGCTATGAATTTATATAGTAGAAATTTTCCCTACGAGTATGTCAGACTTCATTGATCAGTTACACTTATTGTACCGGAATGAATGAATAAACAACTTTATTAACGTATCAAAATCTTCTAGCTGGCCACAAGTAGCCTATTAATCGGGACACCTTCAATTCAACCGGTACTTTCAATTAGTTAATAAAGTCAAGAGTGTATGCCCTTCGATCAGGGCTTCGATTCATCCTTTCCTATAATGGCCTACACGGGGAAACTCCGCCCAGCCGAAAGGGGTTCCAAAGTACAGTGGTTGTGAAGCTTCTTAGACGTCTTCGTTAAATAAGCTTTTGTTAGCTTTCCAAGGCTTGACCGTGCAAATCGTTCAATAGTATTCCCATCCATTTTGAACTTACTGACCGAAAAAAGGCGCATTATAATTCAAGATTCAGTCTTTATTTGTGAACAAAACCGCTCAAAGTGATTGTGCAACACAACGGAGCTCCCGACATAAAATGCAGCACCGTTGTTTTATCGAGCTTTGATATGCGATGTTTGCTGTGCCAGTTTCATGACCAGCAGTCTCCTTCACCAACGTTGTTCAGTATTGAATGACTTGGGTATCTTAATTCAGTGTTTAGAATCAGTTTTGCTTTAAAAAAAAATCACCGGGGTGGGGAGGTGGGTGGGGAGATGCGAGTGCTGCTTTCTCTAGGTGAACCATGGCCTCAAGCTTTTCTAAAGTAACTTCTGATATCGCTTGTCGTTTGATTTAGATTTACTACATTTCGCCAAAGATACATAAATATTTCTTTAAGCGTTGTCACGAGGCAATTCATGTCTTTCATTTTAGGGCTCAAATACAGGATCCGGTTCCTTACGGAAAAGAAATAAAATGAGTGCTGTTTTGTTTCGTTACGTTCCTCTCAGAAATTTCTGCTTCCGGGAAAAGCTATGAGAACAAACAAAAAGATAACAAGAGAACGACAAAAACCAACAACAAAAGCAAGTAAAAAAAAGCAATGGCAATTTATTTCTGGACCTTTTCTTCAGATGTTACAACTAAAGGAGACCCTATGGGTGGATTTAGCTGCAGAATAAGCGCGTATAGTATTCGCATTTGGCTGTTAAAAGCTTAGAAACATTAAGATATCAGCGCGCAAAAGAAGGCTGTATGCCCTTGTTATGAGAAATTTTTGTTACACGTATTTCATTTTCAAATCATTTTATATTTAATTATTTATTTGTTTCTTTAATTACAGCTGAGATTGAGATGCGTAGTGACGTTGCCGCCGGTGTGGTTACGCTGAAAGGGAAAGTCTCCAATAGATATATTGCAATGAGTACAACTGGCTCATTGTACACCACAGTAAGTGTGGCTTCATGATAAGAACCCGGAAGGGGGGAGGGGGTACTCCCTATAATGGCCTATACAGGGAGGTACCTTTTTCAGGCCTCAGGTATATTAAAGGGTAGGGGTTTTACTTGTCGTTGAAGTATATGAAAGGGTAGGGAAATCTCAGGTAGGTGTCGATAGGTGGCTCTAGTGGAGACGTACCTTTCTGTCAAAAAAGGCATATAAAAGGGTAAGGGTTTGGACTTCGCAGCGGAGCCTTCCTGTGTAAATCTTTGTTGAGTACCCCCCTCCCCCGTCCCGGTTTAAACTTTGCGTTACTCCTTGAGCTAGCCTATGATCATTACCTCACCATATCAGAATTCTATGCTTTCGTGGGATGGAGGGCAATTTGCCCAGACACAACACATCTGATACATCTCTGCGTTCTGATTGGTTGAGCTTAGATTTGGTTCTTCCCGTGGGATCCGGATACCCGAAATGGTGTTTGACATGTCTGACGATAGGCAAACACTTCCACCTTACGTTTTAAAAATCCGTTTTTGTTATTGAATCAAACAACAAACCCAATTACATCCTGAAACAAACATACAAAAGATACACCTGATCGCAGATCACCTATGAGCTGAATCTGAAGCAGCAATTTATATGCATATGCATGAAAACTTGAGGCATTTTTTACACTTCATAGAATAGCTTTAATTTCGCTCTATTTTATAGTCATGCCGGAGAAGTCTATTGTTTA